TGGTCACATAATAGTCATTACAATTTAATAAAGGTAAAACCTGAAAACCATAGAAAGACTGCATCAATATTTTTAGACAATACACACAATTACATATCTTTTATTACATAGTAATGCAACAATTAAAATTTTATTAAATTGTAATTGCTGGTAATACTGGAATAAATAAGTCTTACCTGTCACAACATTCCCTACTCTGCCTTCTCTTAAAGGGGTCCTATTATGCTCTTTTGCAAAGTCTTGATTATGATTTGGGGGTGTACTAGAACATGCTCTCATGCTTGGTGTTGGTGCTTGGCGAAAATCGCATTATTTTTCACATAATTTACATTATTAAAATACCTTTCTCCCCAGCCTGGCACAAACGGATGAAGGTCCGCCTTCCGAAAAACAAAATGTGTTGTGATTGGTTAGCTGTCCCAGTGCGTTGTGATTGGCGAACAGCTTAGACGGTATTTCAGTACTGCCACGCCCCTTGCTCCGTCTTTCAACAAAAGCTTTTGGCGAATCCGGTACTGTACTCCCTCGTGTTGTGGAAGCTGTCCTCAGTAAAATGCGCAGCACATAATAGCAAATTGGGGTTATAATGCTCAGGGACAGAGTTAAAAAATAAATTGCAACCACTGTTTCCTAACATCATCCGCTTTTGGAAGCCAAAACAAAGATGTTTGGACACGGAGGTGAAAAAAAAACTGTGTTTCAAGCGGTCGCGCACCAGAGGAGAAGCGCAGCGTCGCGCCACGTCTTTAAAATTCAAATACATTATTTTCTGTGAGTGTAGGCACACCGGCGGCGCCGTTCGGCGTCTATCCGCGGCGCCCAGCTACGTCGTGTTATACTTGTAAGAATTGTTCTAGACATGCCGAAAATGTGACGCTACATCACAGCAGCTCTTCTTCTTCGTTTTCTCTGATGCACTAACTCTGCAGCAGCACTTCTTCTTCGTCGTCTTGTCTGATGCACTCACTCAACCAAGCGTTCTAATTACGACCTTGCCCCTCCTCACCCCCCAACCATTCCAATTTCTGTAGGCGGGAATTATTTGTAATGATATTCCAATGAGCCGCTTTGTGATATCACAAACCCCGGAAAACAAATGCTGTAGTCCAAACGAGCCGTTCGTTGTAGTTCTTGAAAAGGGATTTTTAAAAAAGGAAATATCTCCCTTTGGAGTGGACTTTGAGATTTGTAACTTTCTAGATTTTTTAATGCCCAAACATACACACTACACACTGACTAAAATTAAAAAAGTGAAAAAGCATAATAGGACCCCTTTAAAGAATAAAATTATCAATGTAAAATCTATATATAGTTCCCAACAAAAGTATTGTTTAGTGTAAAACATGTTGAAGATTAGTGAACAGGTTGTGATTCATTAAGCTATTTCCTCACAAAAGCTGTTTATTCAGTGTAGTTAAGCCTCTCCTCCACTGACATCCATTAAAAAATGTTTTTAAAAAATGCAGCATGGTGCTCTTTGCTTGCTGCAACTCTCTGATTACTGGGATTGTCTGTACAGCATCATGTGTAATAATGTAGTTTTCAACACGAATTCCGCTTTTAAGCATGGTTATTTATTTATTTTTTTAATAATTCAAATGAACACAGATAGCTTCAACAAAATGCCTATACAACTGATTAAAAACCTCAGAGCTCACAACAGGTCTGTCTATAAAGGTTTATCAGTTATTAAAAATCTATTTCCTTATGGAAAATGAATGGAGCTTTTACTTCTGGAATCCGAATGTTTTGCTCTATTCTTTGAAATGGTTTCTTATTCGTAGACTATATTTTCATATGATGTCATAAATTCTTTGAGCACTTTTACAGAAAATGAATTAGTTTAACTGTTGAATGCGGTGCACTGTTTGCTCAAATACAAAAAAAAAAAAAAAAGCATTTACACCGCGAGCAACATGCACTGACAAAGCGACATGATCTCATTCAGTTGGGGATTTCTGACAACACAAGTGACATTGACCTTTGGTAACAGGATGTAGCTGTGTACAGCAACGTGATAAAGTTAAGATAGCCTATGTTTGTCTTATGTAAATGAAGAGCAATTGACAGTTGAATTATTACAAACATCTACTGAAATTGAGGAAGCAAAAAGAAGTAGTAGCATGTCTTAAAAATGCTAAAGAGGTATTAAACTAAGAAATAACTGAGAAATTATGCTCTTTTGCACGATAGTCAATCACTCAATAGTCAAACACATACAAAAGATACATTTTCAGTGTGTGTGTTTTTTTTTTTCTTTTTTAATTATTATTATTATTTGGTTGTTTCTGCTCTGGCTGCAGTAACTTCGTGTTTCCTGTATTTGCAACGCAGGAGGAATCTTCCACCATTTCTCTTTAAAAAACTTAGTTTCAGTTCAGCAATATTCTTATACATGGGCAGCCTCAGATAGTGTCTTCCCTTCTGTTAAATGTAAAAGTTAAATTACTCCTGTGCTTCATCTGTCCATGGAACATACAGTCAAACCAAAATGTATTCAGACACCTTCAACATTTCTCACATTATCACAGTTTATTCGCTATAGTTTAGAAAATGGTAATACAATATGACAAGGAATCAAGAGTTAAACTGTCAGAACAAATTTATCTTGATAACGTCAGATAACTTTGATAGAAAGGTATAACAAAACATGGTCAGGTCAAAGTGTCAAATCACATTTTTGGTCCCTAATTTTTATCAGTTTTACTGGTCGTCCACTGTATGAAGTATTTTTGAGTATAATATATCACAGTTTACTTTATTTTGCTATCCTCACTTACATAAATGAACTATAGTGTCCTGCACCCAGTAGTAAAAAATATCGAAAATTATATCTGGTGTCTGAATAATGTTTGGTTTGACTGGCTTCTTTTGTGGTGTTATCCCATGTTGATTTTGTTTAGAAATAACCAGTCTTTCACTGACACTTTAGCTTAACATTGAAGCATTTGCCACTATTTCAGCACAAGAACATCAGCAGCGCTGAACTTTCTCCATGCATAGACAAAGCATTACAGTGGACTGATCAACATCAAGGCTTTAAGAGCAAGTTCTAGATTTTTAACTCCTGACTCCAGTTAACTTTTAGGTCATTATACTTTTTGCTATAATGTACTGTAAACAATGTGTTCAGTAAAGTCATTAAAACGTTTTTGGAGTTTAATTGAGCATGTATTTATTTGTTGGTGTGACTGCAGATTAGATTAAATTCTGTCACAAGTTTATGCTGAAATTTATAGAAGTAACTGAGGTTGCCATTCAGAGTTTCCTTTCTGTCTTCTAAATTACCTTGCAATATATATATATTTTGTCTGTTTGAAAACGGGCAAATAAGCTATAGTATGTGTTTCTAGACAAGCTTAATAAATTAATTTAGTCATTAAAAGAGTGAGACAGGTCATTTTTCCTTAATGTGATCATGACATATACTGTGGCTCTACGAAAACATGAGAGACAGAAAAAAAACAGCTGACTCGAAGTACAACCCACAACAGACACATACTAACACAAACAGGAACAGTTTTCATCTAAAGTAATTACAGACTTCTCTATGGGACTTTTATACATTCTCCTTTTCTGAGCTGCTGAAGAAAATGTTTCGCTTTTTTGTTTTTTGCTGTTTGTGCTTTTGGCATCTGGTTGGTAAGTTTGAAATATTTTTGATTGTTCCATAAATCAAACTTAGCATTTCACTCTGAGATCTACTCTGCTTTTGGTCTCACATTCAGTGCATTTTCTATTGACATCTTAAATGATGAAATCAGAATTGGTAGTGTTTTAAACATCAGTTGGCTTTTTCTGTCTTATGGTACAAGTGGGAAAGTGCATAAATCGTATTTAAGTACATAAAACAAAGCAACATACTTTCCTACATTCTGAAAGCCGAATGTACATATAATGCAGCTTTAGTGATTTATGTCAGTCTGTGTGTTTGTAATGGGACTATAATACTATTCATTCAGATAATCTAGAGCAGGAATGGGCAAACTTGGCCCGTCCAGGTCACTTTCTTTCAGAGTTTAGCTCCAACTCTAATCAAACACGCCTGAACCAGCTAATCATTGTCTTCAAGACTACTAGAAAGCTACAGGCAGGTGAGTTTTATCAGGGTTTGATCAAATCTCTGCAGGAAAGTGGCCTGGAAGGGCCAAGTTTGCCCATCACTGATCTAGAGATTCTGTAAAACTAGTGTCTTATTTTGTTTGCTACTGAATAACTAATCATTATTAATGGCAGTTTAAGCGAAGATCATACTGTTGTGTTTTGATGAACACTGAAGGCTGTTAGCTGAAACATTTGTATTATTTTATGCCCTGTTGTTATTTTCTGAACGATATCTTGTAGAGTGCAGATGTTTTTTTTTGGGGGGGGGGGGGGGGGGTGTTATTTTTGCATTGATAAAAATAACTGAGAAATTGAAAAAATGTATGAAATGACAACAGCAGAAGAGTTATACAAAGTTACCCCTTGTGAAAATAGAGCAATTTTGGGGAACTACCACATATGGTGTTCACACAGCCTATAAGATCATGACTGATGAGGATCATGTATATCTTTGCAATGCTCCACATAAAACTTCATATAAAGTATGTTGTTGTCACAATGCCCTGACCTAATGGTTAAAAATGTTGTTTCTACTCGCCTAAACTCATCACCAGAGATGCTGATGTCCAGTTAAATGTACTCAAAACAGATCAGTCTCTGTGGTGTTTTTCCTTGTAATGGTTGCTGCAGCTTTATTTCACTTCTGATGTTTAAGTTCAACAAGGGCTGGAGCTAAAGGTCCTTCACACACAGTCTGGCCTGAGCTCAACTAGACGAAAATCAGCTCAAATAGTAACTTTTCTGAAAAAAAAAGTCTCACTTTAAAAAGCCAAGAAGAAAGCATGTTATCATTTCAAAACTACAAGATTAAAGACCTTGATTAAGCCAAAGTCATTTATTTTAACTTTAACAAGAACTTTAATAAGTGACTGAAAAATAAACTGTCTGTTCTCCAGTGTTTGGTTTTAAAGATGCAGTGAAGTCAGTGTCAGTGACGGAGGGAGAATCAGTCACTCTACAGACTAATGTTACTGGAATACAGACACGTGATCTGATAACATGGACATTTGGACATCCAGAGACTCTTATAGCTAAACTCAGTGAAGAGGACAGTATCTTCTCCACATATGACGACGTTCTTGATGGGAGATTCAGAGACAGACTGAAGCTGGACAATCAGACTGGATCTCTGACCATCATGAACACCAGAACCACAGACTCTGGAAATTATAAAGTAAACATCAAAGGCACAAAACCGACCACATACAGATTCAATGTTACTGTCTATGGTGAGTCACAGTTAAGAGTTGTGCTTGCTCTGTGTATACTATTTATTAGAGGAACTAATCTTAATATGGGCTTCTTACCAGTGGCATAACTTTCATGATTTGGAATTAATTTCTAAAACATTTGATGGTCCTCTGTCACTTCCACAGCGTACATACAAATCCATAAGAATATAACACTGTAATTACAATTCCAAACTGCTGGTCTCTAAAGCATCTTTTCACAAACTATGAAAAGTTCATTGTGTTTGTTGTCTGCCCTTATATACTACTATCCCTCAGGGAATTTCACAAAATACCTAATTCTATTCACTTTTAATGAAAAGTTGGATTCTGTTTAGGCTAAATTTGGGTTAATTACATTCGCATAGCATTTTACACAATGCCCATTGTTTCACAACAGCTTTACAGAAAGTCATATGAACGCTACAATGTAATACATGTTTGAAGTGTCTCAGACTCACACTTGAGTGGTCGAATATACTTCAGAGATGTAAATATTAATAGTTTTGTTTAATGTTTAAATCTATTTCTTATGGCAACCAACCCATAGAACTGTGAGACTGAGTTTTGCACAGACACTCAAAATTCCTTTAAAAAATATATAAAAGTTCAGTTTAACATATTTTAAAATAAGCAAGTATTTCTGTAAGTTGTGCAGTGTTAGAATTAATTTATTATACAATGTATTATATGAACTTTAAGATTTAAAGAAGTGTTACAATTTATAGCAACACATGAGCTATAAATACAAAATAGTTGAGCATCATAAAGGAAGAACTGACCCTAGAGACAGATTACTGAACAATATATCAAGAAGCATTACAAGAAGTCAGCAATGTCTTGTCAATTACTCCCTAAATTATTCTCTCATGTGTTCAGCTCGTCTGCCTGTTCCTGTCATCAGCAGTAACTCTACACACTGTTCTTCATCATCATCATCACAGCAGAATTGTTCATTGGTGTGTTCAGTGGTGAATGTGAGTCATGTGACTCTCTCCTGGTACAAAGAAAACAGTTCATTGTCCAGCATCAGTGTGTCTGATCTCAGCATCAGTCTCTCTCTACCTCTGGAGGTGGAATATCAGGATAACAACACCTACAGCTGTGTGCTCAACAATCCCATCAGCAACCAGACTCAACATCTGGACATCAGTCAACTCTGTCACACATGTTCAGGTATATGAATGCTAAAATATCTTGTGACTGTAAAAGCTTCATCTGAAGTAGCATATACATTACAAACTCAGCTGTGTGCTGCTCTTTATAGTGTTTATCATAGATCAGACATGTTTACTCTTTCTCTTTAGCCGTTGCAACACCAGGTCCACAGTCTACTTCAAACTCTACTTCACATCCTCCAGACTCAGTCTCTTTGATAGTGTTGATCTCTGCTGCTGCTGCTGGATCTCTGTTGATTGTAGCAGCAGTCGGGATCTACTGGATCTACAAGAAACACAGAAAAACAGACCAAGAAGGTAAGAGTTTCCTATTGCTGACACATCTGTAAAAGTATTAAAATAATAATAAAACAATAAAAAAATAATCAAGTATCTTTTCTTTTTTTAAAGAAACACATATAAGATTGCATTTTTTGTTTTTATTTTTGTGTTGATTTAATGATTATTGTAGGAACAGATCAGACTCGTAATGATGAGATCACTTACGCTGATCCGACTTTCTACAAACAAAAAGCACAGAAACCGGTAAGAGAATTTATAACTGTGTCATTAATGCATATTTATTAAATTAGATGTTCATGTCCCATAACCATCCATCCCTTTTTCCTTCTGTTATAATAGAAACAATGATAATAATTCAAAATAATAATAACAATAATAATTATTATTATACATATTATTATTATTATTATAAAAACCTATAATTATTATTTTTTTGTAGTAGTACTACTATTTGTTTAAATTACATATACATTAATTATTATTATTATTATTATTATTAAGTAAATACGTAATTAAATATGAATTAAGTATTTACTTAATAATACATTTGAAACTAATGCACATAATACATAATAATCTAAATTTATTGCGACACGTCCTACAAGAAACCCAATGTGATTCTGGGGAACTTACTTAATTACTTACTTCTGGCGAAATTACTTCATACACCCACTGAAAATGTCTCAACAGTATAAATGTCAATCAGGAAAAGATGACGTTAGTTCTAAAAAAAAAAGATCCTGAAGCAAAGATAGTTAACATGAAAACAGCAAGTTCAATGGACCTCAGACGGATTGCAAAAAAAAGAGATACTGAGTTAAAGGGGTCATATGCTGCTGCTAAAAAGAACATTATTTGGTGTAATGAAATGTGTTTATGCAGTTTAAGGTTAAAAAAACACATTATTTTCCACATACTGTACATTATTGTTTCTCCTCTATGCCCCGCCTTTCTGAAACGCGTAGATTTTTACAAAGCTCATCGTTCTGAAAAAGCGAGGTGTGCTCTGATTGGCCAGCTATCCAGTGCGTTGTGATTGGCCGAATACCTCAAGCGTGTGACGGAAATGTTACGCCCCTACCATATTGTGATGATGCTCTGTCAGGCCGGAGCGATGATTCAAAAATATGAAAACCCATTATAAATGAGACATTCGTTGCATCCAGTGGGGACATAATTATGGATTATAATGACTTGTACTGTCTTTTTACGCGTTGCGTTGCATCGTGCCACGTAAACATAAAACCATGTCTGCATTTGTGATCGGAGAAATGACAAACAACAAGCCTACTCTACACTGCCCAAAAAACTCGCTTTAAATATATAAAATAGAAAAACTCTTTAAATATAAAAAACGTACTTACAGTCTTTGAGTTAGAACAGCCGGCATTGTAGTCTACTCTACCAGGATCAGGAAACGGTCCTCCATAAAATGTGCTGCACACATCTGAATATTTTGGATGAAGTGTTCTGGAACAGTGTTGTAAATCTTCTTTATGCACCAAGAGCTTGTAACACTCCAAAGAGAAAGGAAAAATTGAAATCGCATCATATGACCCCTTTAAATTAATGTGCAATCCTTTTGGGCAAGTCAATCCAGTATACTCAACAAAGCTCCATGTCTGATTTTAATTACGCAGACATAAATTCATACTCCCAAATGCTGACAAATAATACATTTTTACACTAGAGCTTTAGACTAGAACTGCACAACAAGATCTTTTTGAATCTATGTGAAGAAGCTGTTAAGCAAAGACCATTTCGAGCAGCCCTGATTGTGACAATGATACAGAGTGTCAGTTTAGAGATTTTGCTATATTGTTTATATTCACATAACACTGTAAAGTGTAAATATATCTGCTTAGCACAGTACAGCTTGACGTTACTGACATGTTAGAGTGACAAAAACACATGGTCTATAAAGAGCGGCATTAAAGGCACAAAAAAAGAAAAAGAAGTCAATTCGGTAGGCTACTTGCCTAGCATTCACTGCTCTTGACTTAATGATTCTAGTAGCTTTAATAAGCATTAATCTATATTTTATACAGTGAAGACTATGCAGCATTATAGATTCTGTAGCATTATTATTTCTTTTTTATTTTGATATTATAACAGTAGCTCCCCAGTGCAACAGAATGACAGTGACAAGACAGGACACAGATAATAAAAAGAATAATATAAAAATATACAAAGTAGACAATGTACAAAATTTCAGTGTGTTTTTGCTAAACAGGCACTGTTAAACTGTCTCACCGGAAACTGAGGCCTTCAGAAAGCCAATGTGACAGAAGAAAGTCACACATCTCTGCTCATTTATGCATGAATGTGTGTGATAAAATATGTGCTAATTTGCATATATTTCTAGTACAAAAATCTAAACACTGAATGAAGCCAGTTTCAGATTAGAGTCAAAAGTTTTTACAGAGGGAATTTTGGGTATGTCATTTTGTCACTCCATAATTCAGAAAATACTTAGAACAGACAGAAAACAATATATTTTCAAAACAATTTTAGGGAATAAAATATATGTAATCAAGCAAATTATATATGAACAAATCCCTCTGTACAAACCTTCAGGATATAGACAGGAATGCAAAATGTAAAGTTTGGTGTGTGTAAGTGCTACTGAAGTGGAGATTTATGGCTCATTGTAGGAGAAAAAACTAATTTTGAGAAAACGGCCTTTAAAAATATGTATTGTAATGGTAATCCATTGACACAAATAGATAAAGAGCTATAAAAGAAACACTTAACAGTGTCTTTAGGAAGTTTTCTTTCCACTAGTCTAAAAACACACTTTAAAATTATTGCCAATTCAACCACCATTACATATCGCCAATTCAACCATGTTAAAAGTTTTTTGATCATACCGCCCAGCACAACTTAGCCTCCTGAAGACTAGCACACCAAATGTTTGATATGTTAGCAAACAATGCACTTTTTTGCAAAAAGGTTTGCAATGCAACTGTTTTTTTTTTTTTTTTAAATGAACAGATCTGACATGCGTATCTTGCTATCTTTGTGTCTTTCAGGGAGTCAAACAGGAGGATGAGGTGGTGTATGCAGACGTTGTCACGAAAAGTTGATCAAATTCCTCATTAATGTTGCAATCACAGTCAGTACAGTTTACATGCATGCTAGAAAAACAGACGATTATAAAGCTGTCTTTCTGCCAATTTTCTTTTCAATGTTTTCACATGCAGCTGCGTTACTATGTTAGTGTTCAGCTGAAACTCATCTAAAATGTGTTATGTAAGTAAAATTTTGGGATAAAATCAGTTAAATATTTACTTACACTTATATTCTATGCGACTGTATAATGTTTTTGAATATGTTTTTAGAAAAAGATTTTACAGATTTCTGTGTTTTCACTGTTATATGCTTGGGGGCGCTATTACATTACTTCTGAATGAGACCAGAATCTCCCGATCAAAAACACAGGCGAGGAAGACACACAAACAAGCGATCTAATATGTAAGCATATGCATATGAAAAATAATACGATTATAATAATAAACAGCATATAAATCAAAACTGCCTAATGTTAACGAAATGTCAATCCAGGAAGTGCTAAAGGACATGCAAGATTTGGGGGTGCTGATGGAAGCGATCTACAGCATCTATGCTTTGATCAGTCCATTGAATATAATCCAGATGTACTCTTTGATAAAAACACGATTTTCTTTTTGCTCAAAATATTCTGGGGGCCACGAAAATGTTGCAGACATATTCAAAAAACACTGCAGGTGGCTGGCAACTTTTTAAAAAAAATGCTGGTGGGGAAAGAGTTAATCACTTAATTTGTCAATTATAGATTTCACATGCTAAAATACTAATGAAGCGTGATTAAAATATGTTTATAAAACAGATAATTCCGGTCCTTGATCCTGATTGGTTGAGCCGCGTTCGAATCTGTTGTAAATTATTCTACAAATATACACCTTTGTTTACGTCTGTGTGTTGCTCGGCAACCACTCTGCTTTGCATCGTGCCTAACAACGCCCCTTAGCTGTTATAAATTCACTGTTCCACGGCTTCTTGGTGCTTATTGCTTTAATACATGTGTACATATGTAAACATGAATTAGTTACATTGGCAAATGAATGACGATATAATGCAGCGTTGTTCGCACCCTTCATGCTTACTGTTTACCAAGATGATGTCCATTATTCTGAGGGTGTAAATGCAAATTAAAAATACACAAACATCAATAATACAGTCTGCAGAATGATGATTTTGTCACAAATATTATCAGCAAACAGATGATTTTGGTGTTTTTATTGCCGTGTGTAATGAATGTTCAATGAATGCATTTGACACTTGAGCAGCTGCAGTCAAAATAAAACCTGCTGTGGTTGGATTTCTTTGGCTTTGGAAAGAAAAGGGGTTTCATCTTCTGGTGGACAAACAACTTATGCATGCAAAAACTTATGCAAAAAAAGGGGGGGGGGGGGGAGTGAAGAGTATATGTTTAAATGCACTTCCGCAATTTAACTTCCTTGTTTTTAATCTGAAATAAACTACTGAATCTATAAATGCAGATGCTTAAAAAAACAGTTATGTCAAATCAAGCCGTTATATTAGATAAAATATGAAAAGAGCCATATGTAAGTGAAATATTAAGAATGATATTCTATGGCATATGCATCTGTCTCTCTCTAAATAGATCAGCAGTGTTAGTCTCAGTAGTTATTTTCAAAACTAGTTAGTCTAACTAGCTAAAAATATTTTCTGAAGAACTTTTTACCTTTCAAAATCAAGGACAAAAACAAAATTGTTTTAAGAACAAATGTAACACCTGACTCACTGCAAGTTGTAAAACTTTATGGTATGCTATATTTTTTTTAAACCACTACTATTAATATAACATGAGTTACACACAACCTCATGAGTCCATCAGACACACGTAATTTTAGCCTTATGAAAAAAGGACTGCATTATTGAATCGCCATAAATGGAAAGTAGTGCTTTTTGTCTGCAAAAATGGTATAATTACAGCATCTTTGCTAGCAAGCATGTCCTGATTTTGCTGAGTTAGATGTGTTCCTAGGTCAACATATTTCATTGACCCTGGAACAACATTTTAATCCAAAAATTTAGTCTTGACCATATCCCTACACCTAAACCTAACCCTAACCATGAGTAATCCCTAAAATCAGAGGAAATTATAGGTGAAAGACATTGATGTACAAGCACCAAACACTGATTGTAAGCCTAAACTTCACAAAAACTATAAACTGGTTCTTCAAATCTGATTGGTTAATCACAATGTTGTTCCAGGGTCAACAAAGCTGTTGCTCCAGGAACGTTGCACTTGGTAAAATCAGGTCCTGCTTGCTAACAAGGCCATGCTAAACCCTGATATAATACCATGGGTTACGCCATAGACTGTAAAAAAGATGGACGACGCATCTCCACTTCTTTGCACTATAGAAAAGG